TCCCCCAGGCCCAGTCCTGACCGAGGGGCACAAGGGACTAATGTCTGAGCATCCTTTGTGCCCGCTGAAGCAGGTGACAGCGACCAGAGACGAGGGTGCCTGGGAAGGTGCTGCCTCCTCCTCTAACGGTCTGTCCCAGTACGCAAAGGCTAGGGACCAGACAGAAACTAGCGGCAGGAACATCAGCCTGGAGTCACTTAAACACCATCCTGTGCAGAAGGATGGTCTGAGAGGATGGAGGGCTGCCTGGAGTAGGCGGCTGTGGGATACACTACCGTGGGCAGAAACCAGGGGCCCTAGCAGTAACCCGGTGCAGAGAAGGTCCTGCAAGTATGAAGAGGAGGAGCAGCGGGTGAGGGCCAGAGCAGAGGGCCTCCTGCCCTCCACCCCTCCAGCCCTCCAGGGGTTCCCAAGAAGGCTCACAGCACACTCTTCCCGGAGACGCTGGGAACCTGCGGCCAGGCCCCTCGTGGGGGCAGGTGGGGGCAGGTGGGGGCAGGAGCCTTGACTGACAGGAGGGTCGTCTTGAATGCAGTAGACAGGTCACTTCTAAACTACGCCCTCAGGACTCAAGGCCGAGCTTGGAAATGTCCCCCTTACAGCCTGTTGGAGGAAACTCCAGAAAGATTACAGTGCAGATGTGCCCCCTGGGGTCCTGGCCCCTGCAGGCCCTGAGAATATTTCATACTTCCCTCCGCGGCAGGCTCCCAGTGGAAGGCAAAGCCAGAACTGAAGCTGCGTTCCAGCCAAATCCAGTACCTGTGTTTGTTCAGCTACAGGTTAGGGAAAGAGGGATGGAGAGATGAAGGGATAAGCAACTAGATAGTGAGAGGCCAATTAAGTCATTAGAGAGAATGATTCTACTTAATCTGTGTCCTTAACAGGCAGGTGAGGTAAGAAGCAGATTGCTGTTGAAAAGGATAGCAACATGGTTGGGGCAAATTTCAACGAAGGACTGACTAAGGCTTTTAGGGGCCTTATCTGCATTTCAAAGGTCCCTGTCCCACAGGGATGAGCTGCTAAGGAGAGAATCCCTGCCCTGATGCACCGGGACAGAGGCACCCGTGGCCCAGCCGGCGCCTTCGCTAATCTCCCAGCTCATCTGCAGGCCGCCTGGGGCGTTCCTGCTCCTCTCCCCCTCCCCCTCCTGCTCAGTTCTGTGGTTCTCAGCCGGGTTGCAGTGACACGGACGTAATCAGCTCTCTCTTCTAGATGGGTCTCTCGAACCCCTCCGGAACCTGGCACCAGATGAAGATATATGTGTGTGTACGCCCATGTATACACACCCATGTACGTGGGACTACATGAAAATGTGCACATGCATGCATGCATGAGTGTATGCGAACACACACTTCGCACTGGAAGAATCATACATAAACATCACAGCAATTTGTCCAGTTGGTAGGATAGGAGTCCTTGATCGATCGTTTCTTTTTGCCTCTATATACCTTCTGACTTGCATGCACTGACTGCACCTGCCGTGAACCCCTTTGGGAAGCCTGCAGGGGTGGGCAACGGGTTCAGCTGCACGGTAGGCAGAGTCCCGGCATTACACTGGGACACCCCTAGAATCAGGGCAGCATGCACGGGGTCCTGTATACTGTTTGTCACCCTGTTAGCTGCTCCCATGCTGTGCCCAGGGTGGGAAACAAATGTGTTCATCAGGGACCAGAAACTCACTTGGCACAGAATTTGTACACATTTTGTGTCCTCTCTGCCCTCAAACCCGGAAGTCCCTCGGCAGACACAGGCAGGCGGAGGCACTCCGTCGGCCTGAGCCGGGGCAGAGGGCGGGGCTCCGGCGCACAGGTGCAGCAGGTCAGCCCGCCCGGGGGGCAGCTGGGCAAGGCAGGCTCGTTGCAAAGGTGACATTCAGCAGCCCCTTGAAGGCTGAGTGGGTGTTTGGAGACAAGCATGGGCGAGGGCGGGGCTTCTAAGTGGAGGAAAAGGGGGTGCAGATGGAGACGTGGTGGGGACCGGGACGGGGTGAGCACCCGCGCAGCACAGGAGACAGTGCGAGGGAGCCTTCGTGTTGGTGACAGCACACTGACTGGGTAGAGAAGGTCAATGAGCCAGGAGGGCTCCCTTTCCGGAGAGAAGAGAGGCAGCAGCCGACTGAAGTTCCCTGTGGGCCCAGCACTGTCCTGGGGCAGGGAGCGAGGAGCTGAGCAGGTGGAAGGCTGTGGCCCAGGGGGCCTGTCACCTGTCCCAGAGCAGGGCTGTAGCCATGACTGTTCGCAGACTTCAGCTCTGGGTGTCAGCAGACAGAGCGTGGAGGTGATGAGGGTCAGGAACTGTGAGGCCAGTGACAAGTGCTTCTCCACGTGGACTTTGAGGTCGCCCAGGGTGGCAGGCTGGCAGTGAGCCAGACTGTCAGTGGTGGATGGCAGATAATGAGGCTGGACGGCGACAGGTGTGGATGGTGATAGCCGGGAACGGGAGATAGCAGGGGGCGTAGGCTGGTGGTGACGGCCAAACGCAAATGGGCTCAGAAGAAAAGCTTTTCTTTTTTAAAAAAGTATTTTTCTCTATTGATTTTAGAGAGAGAGGAAGGGAGGGAGAGAGAGAGTGGAAACATCGATGAGAGAGAACATGGATTGGCCGCCTCCTGCACACCCCTCACTGGGGATCGGGCCCACAACCTGGGCATGTGCCCTGACCAGGAACTGAACCAGCGACCCCTTGGTGCAGGGTCGATGCTCAGCCACTGAGCCACACTGGCTCATAGGTTTGGATGTGGGATGTGGCAGTGGGGAGAGGGGACAATGTGAGCCCACCTACCCATGCGGCGTGAGGGCAAAGGAGAGAAGCCACCTGCTGCCACACTGCTCGAGGGGCCTCATCATTTGGGGACAGACGTAGATTACAAAGACGGGGAAGGTGGAGGGGTCACGATCCTTCGTGCAGGTCGGTCAGCTGACACTCCGCGGCCAGGAGAAGGCTGTCGTGAATGAATGATCCCGCAGGCCACGCCACTACCCGCAGGTGCCCTGGCAGTGCTGCGGCTCTGGGGTCTGGGGAGGAAGCCCAACCAGCCTTCCCAGGTGCAAACTCGAAGACATCGCCGGACAGGTCTCACGTTGCTGGGACTTCGTGGCTCAGGGTTACAGCAGAGGGAAGTCCCTGCTGGGGCTGGGGGCGTCTTTGGCTTCCCTGAGCCCTTCCTCTGCCCACACCCTTCCTGCCGCGGCTCCTGCACAGACGCTGCTTCCCACCAGCACGAAAGTGAGCCAGCTCGGGCCTGCAAGGCAGGTTCGCGCATCAGAGAGGGCCTGACAGCGCTGTGTCCCGTAAGTGATGCTGCACCAATGCTCTAGAGCAGGGTTCTCCCCCTTGCTAATGCCGGACCCTTGAATACAGCTCCTCGCCTTGTCTGTGGGCGCGTCTGCGTGTGGGCGGACCCGCCTGGAGACGGATGGAGGGGCGGGGTCTCGGTTCCTGAGACCATAGGGAATATGTGTTTTCTGAGGGTCTTAGGCGACCCCTGTGAAAGGGTCGTTCTACCCCCACAGGGGCCGTGACCCACAGGTTGAGAACCGCTGCTCTAGAAACTCTTCCTCCTCTGTCCGTGGGCTGAAGGATTCCTGTGGTCCCTGAAACCTGTTCCGCTGGGGTGAGCTGGAAACACAGCCCTGCCTTCCCGGCCAGTCTCTGCACATCGTGAGGACACGGTCCCCCGGTTGTCACGAACCAGCTGTGTTTGTCTCTCCCAGGGACACCGAGACCTTTGGAAGGTCGTTCCACTGCAGGAGGTTGCCTGACCTCTCGTGGGGCTCAGGGCAGGCTTCTGGAGCGTCAGCGACCCCCCGGGACCCGAAGGGGTAGACTCAGGCTGTGAGGCACTGAAGATGCCCACACCTTGGAGGACACGGTGGGGCGGAGAGACTGCAGCCAAGCGGCAGCCTGTCGGCTGTGTTGATGTGGTCTGTTCTCTGCTCCAGAGGCACCGGCGGGGACCATGGGGAGAGCTGCCGACCTCCACTCCACCCCGCGCGGTGTCCACCTCCCCGCAACATGCCTGCTTGATGGGAGAACGAGCGGGGCAGCTCCCCAGAAGGTGCGCCCGCTGGACGCACAAATGTAAAACCTGACTGTGTCCCCACGTTCTGGTCAAACGCGTTAGAGGCGTCCTCCCCTGGCCCTGGACGGAATCGGACATGCCCGGAGCTTCTCTGCTGACCAGTGATAATAATGGGTTCTCGAGTCATGTTCACTCACAGCGATCGTCTCTTTCGGCCATTCGTGCGTGCAGGCTGGTCACTCGCGACACTCGGTCTGCACACTGAGTTCAGGTGTCTCTCCCAGCGGCCCAGGCCCGCCGGAAGCCGCGCTGGGGGAGACGCTGAGCTCCCTGCCCCGCCCCCGCCCCACCCGAGTCTTGGTGTCCCACTGAGCCGGGTGTGCAGGTGGCAGGGCAGGGACAGCAGAAGAAGGGGGCGGGTTCATTAATGGTGGCTGACGGCGGGCTTCCGTTTTTCTGCAAACACAGCAGATATTCAAAGCTACCTCTCTTGTGGGGGTGTTCATGTTCCCCAGACTCGTGTCTGCCTCTGGAAGTGTGTTTCAGCAGCTGGTCACTGTTCAAGAGCAAAGCAGAACCAGAATGAGTCTGCACTGGGTGTCTTGCCCCCCGCCGGGTGCCCGGGTGGTCACCCTAACTCCTAGCAACCCCAGAACACGAGGCGGGAGACACGTTAGAAAAGCCAACGAATTTTCAGTCTCGGTATCATATTAACTTTAATCTCGCAGTCGTATTTGATCAAAAAGCCTATCCTATTTACAAGGATGTTGCTATTGTAAAATTGGAACAGTCATTAGACGTCTCACTTACCAGGTGTTATTTGATATATGCTCCGAATTATGTTATCTCCAATACAGGGTGCACTTTGAACTAGTGAGGGGAAAAACACCTGTTTTCAGACAGGGTGCATTCCGGTCCCTGCAGTCAGCGTGCCCACAGCTGGTGGTTTTAGAAAGAGTGGGCACGCTTTCATGTCCTAACTCAGTTCCACTCGGGGGCGACCACGGGATTTCGAGGAAGAACGCCTGGGCATTCAGTGCCCTCGGATGACCGCGTGAACTTTAAACTTCCACATCACGCACGGAGTCGGTTCTGAGATAAGAAACCGAATAAATTCTCTCCTGAGGACAGACCTGAAGCTCGGCCTGCCTGGAAGCTCGGACTCACCCGGAGATCATGGCCTTTGACGGGACTTGGAAGGTGGACCGGAGCGAGAACTATGACAAGTTCATGGAGAAGATGGGTAAGGGTCTCCCTCGCTCCTGGTTCCCACAGAACCTTCCGAACTCGCTCGCGCTCTGGGCTCCGGGGGCTGCTGTGGTGGGAGGCTCCAGGCGGTGTCCTGGTGCCGACAGGGACACCATGTTCCCCCGACTCCCATGAGGAGGACACATCGTGTCACTGGTGGAAGCAGAGATGCCGGGGCGCTGTCCTCGGAAACGCAGAAAGACCAGGTGTTCTGCTCACTGACTGCTGTGTGTGTGTGTGTGTGTGTGTGTGTGTGTGTGTGTGTGTAGAGTGAAAAACGGCAGTGTGTACTGATTACTCCCAGACTCTGCAATACTGAATTCTCGCTGGAAGGGCAAACACCGTATAATCAAGTCAGGGAACAGAGTTCTGTCGAAAGTCACAGCGCTGAGTAGATGAGACTTAGTTCCTTTCTCCTCTGACTTGTCCAGCTTTGGAACAACCTCGTGACAATACGCAGTTTCTAAAGGAGGGTTTAACTGAACTGATTTTAATATCTGTACCAGTACTCCGGCAGCCCATACTGCACAAGATGGGCAAACAAATTTGTGTTAATACCCAAACATAAAAATCTGTGTCCACTATAACCTGCAGTTCAGGGCTTCTGAGTTCAAATGTGTAGACTCTGTGCACTTTATTTTTTTTTTTTTTTAATATGTTTTTATTGGTACTTTGGAGAGAGAGGAAGAGAGAGAAACATCGATGTGAGAGAGAAACATCGACCAGCTGCCTCCTGCACGCCCCCTGCTGGGGATCGAGCCCGAACCCAGAGCATGTGCCCTGACCAGGAATGGAACTGCGACCTCTCAGTCCACGGGACAATGCTGAAGCCACTGAGCCACACCGGCCGGGCAGACTGTGTCCATTTTACAATAATAACCTGACTGAAATAATTGCTAACTTTCTCATCTTTGTGACAGTCAGAAATGCCACAAAAAGCAAAGAGAATTATGAAGTTCAAAATGTAAAGCCATTATGGAAAGCAAAGTTGCAGTGAAAAAGAAGGAGGAAAAGAGAAAGAACACTGTATATAAAGACTTAAAGTTGTATATCCCTATAAAAATAAGAATATAGTGCCCTGGCTGGTGTGGCTCCATGGTTAGAGCATCGGCCCTCAGACTAAAGGGTAGTAGGTTCCATTTCAGGTCTAGGGCATGTATCTGGGTTGCAGGTTTGATCCCCAGCCCTGGTCAGGGTGCAGCGGGAGGCAACCAGTCGATGTGTCTCTCTCACATTGATGTTTCTCTCTCCCTCTTTTCCTCCCTCCCTTCCATTGTATCTTAAAAAATCAATGAAAAAATATCATCTGGTGAGGATTAATGAAACACACACACACACATAATATGAATATAGTTTTTAATCCTTCATTTGTCATATCTGGAATTTGGTTTACTTAACACTGAGACAAGTTTGATAATTTTATTGAAATTAATTAGTTCTAAGATTCCATACTTCCATGCTTCATTTGTCTTTTCTGAAATTTGGGGAAAATAGCTCTTGACCTGTTTGAGCTTGAACTTTTTCTGCAGAAGCAATGGGGCTGCCTCGTGCAAAGGCGATGCTCTCGGGTTTCCACCTCCTCAAACAGCAGCAATGAACACAAATGGAACTGCGGCTTTACCTTCACCATACCCCTCTCTCCACTGACAGGTGTCAACTTGGTGAAAAGGAAGCTGGCATCCCACGACAATCTGAAACTGATCATCACACAGGCAGGAAACAAGTTCACCATCAAAGAATCCAGCGCTTTTCGGAACGTTGAAATTGTCTTTGACCTTGGTGTTGCCTTTAATTACAGCCTAGCGGATGGAACCGAACTCAGTGTAAGACACTTTTTATAAATGATGCATTCTTGACTTTTCTACATGGTGCTAAAGTCATCTCTTTCTGTCACTGGGTGGTGTAGTCAGTGCGGGTCTCTTTCATTCACGGGTTTATCCATGCTAGACAGCGGCGAGCTGGCGGAGTATTTAAATATGTCTTTACTTCCACACACATCTGTAAGGAACCTGCACTGAACAGTAGAATTAGAGAAAGTCCTTTGAATGACTAAGTATAGACCTCGTCACAAATCAGCTTTACGTACCTGAGAGCGACAAAAACGCTCGGTTCTCTGACTTCACCATGACAGACGCTGAGCAAAGGTAGCGGAGGTAATAAACCGCATTAAGGAGTTAGTGAGGGCTGCGTGACCAAGTGGAGAGCCTGAGCAGAAGGCAGGTCACCCCTCTTAATGCTTCGGATACTAAATTTTAGGGCTCATGTGTTTCAACTGATTTTTTAAAAAGTTTTTTGGCCCTTAGAATTTGTCTGGTTAAAGTCTCTGTTTGCAAGGACAATTACATTGTTAAATATTTGATCAGTTCTGTTCTTTCTGAACTTGTAACAATTCCGTAAATCGAGGCAAGCGCAGGGTTGTTGGCCGGGCCCTGACGAAGTCCAGGGCACTCTCGCTCCCACGAAGCATCTAGAAACCCAGCATCTGGGCGCCGCTGGGAGCCCAGCTGCAGAGCCGACGCCGAGGTCAGCCCGGCTCTGCGGCGGTGGGTGCACTTGTCTGTTCCCTCGTCTGTGAAATAAACGGCGAGAACAGCACCCACTTCCCACGGTCGGTCGTGGTGAGGATGGGAGGAGCCCACCCAACTCCAAACAGCAGCGACACATGCAGGACCCCAGGGGCTACTCCATTGCTCTTTCTGTTGTGCCCACGCAGGGGACCTGGAGCCTGGAGGGAGACAAACTCGTCGGAAACTTCAAACGCGTGGACAACGGAAATGAACTGAAGGCTGTCCGAGAAATCGTGGGCGGTGAACTGGTCCAGGTGGGTTTGAAACGGTCACAGCTAACTCCCAAAGCCACAAGAACTGCACGCCAATAATTTCATTTTTGTGGTTGCCGAGGTACATCGTCAGTAAATAGTCTATTACTTTTCTCATAAACCTTCTGACTTGAACGATATCCATCTTTTCTGGAAGGCTGTTTATTGAAGAGAACTTACATATATGTCAAACAGGTCGATGCCTATTTTCACTGAAAATGTGGCTACAAACTGGTGTGTTTTAAATGGGTGCATTCTGCACCTGTACAAAATGTTGATATCAAGTACAAGAAAAAACACTGCACGTCCATTTCAAAGCGATAATGATATCACATGAGACAATTCTTTTTTTTTTTTTTATCCTCACCCGAGGACACTTTTTCATTCTTTGTTCAGATAGAGCAGGAGGGAGAGAGAGAGAGAGAGAGAGAGAGAGAAACATCGATGTGAAAGGGACACATCGAGTGGCTGCCACCCGCACGACCAACCAGGGCCGGGGACAAACTGCAACCGAGGTACGTGCCCTTAGCGGGAACCGAACCCGGGTCTCTCGGGACCGCAGGCCGACGCTCTAACCGCTGAGCCAAACCGGCCAGGGCCACATGAGACAATTCTAATCTTTGTCTTAATTTAGCCTTAAATCTTAATGGCAAATTCTCCTGTCTGCTAACACCTTCCAGACTTATGTGTACGAAGGAGTCGAAGCCAAGCGGTTCTTCAAAAAGGAGTGAGCGCTGTCCCTGCCGCTCAGCGCCACCCGGCCGCCTCGGAGCTTGTCCAGCAGGAGCCTCCGCGGAGCTTGTCCAGCAGAAGCCGTCTCCTGCCAGGTGCTCCGTCCCCGACCGGGCGCCCTGTGCGAGTAACCCCGCCGGCTCCTGTTCCGGCCGTGCCACAGCAAAAGAAGGAAATGCGAATTAGGCTCTCCCTGGGCTAGGGTTCTCTGAGATGTACCTTTATTGGCCTTCCAAAAGAATTTGTGACTTTTTTTTAAACAGATGAATAAATATTGTCCCTACATTGCTTTGCAAGTAGCCTCTCTTAAAAAAAACAAAACTATGTGACATGCATATGTGTACGATAGACTGTTTCACATGGCGTGGATATGTGTACGACAGGCTGTTTCACGTGATGTGGATATGTGTACAATAGACTGTTTCACGTGACGTGGATATGTGTACGATAGACTGTTTCACATGACGTGGATATGTGTACGATAGACTGTTTCACATGGCGTGGATATGTGTACGATAGACTGTTTCACGTGGCATGGATATGTGTACGATAGACTGTTTCACATGGCGTGGATATGTGTACGACAGGCTGTTTCACGTGATGTGGATATGTGTACAATAGACTGTTTCACGTGACGTGGATATGTGTACGATAGACTGTTTCACATGACGTGGATATGTGTACGACAGACTGTTTCACGTGGCGTGGATATGTGTACGACAGACTGTTTCACGTGGCGTGGATATGTGTACGATAGACTGTTTCACATGACGTGGATATGTGTACAACAGGCTGTTTCACGTGACGTGGATATGTGTACAATAGACTGTTTCACGTGACGTGGATATGTGTACAATAGACTGTTTCACATGACGTGGATATGTGTACGATAGACTGTCTCACGTGGCATGGATATGTGTACGACAGGCTGTTTCACGTGACGTGGTTATGTGTACAATAGACTGTTTCACGTGACGTGGATATGTGTACGATAGACTGTTTCATGTGGTGTGGATACGTGTATTGACAGACTGGGTTTCCCCACACTTGGTAAACTAATAACATAAACTGTCAGGGGTCTTTAAAATCCTGCACTGGTTCTATTTTCCTTAGTAAAATATATTATTATAAAAACTATATATATTCAACCAGAAAACTTAGAAATAAGAAAAGCCACGGAAAATAACCATGTGTATAGGCCCAGGGTCCAGAGCTGGTCAGCATTCCGATCTTAACAGACCCCTCCCAGGCCTCGTGGCTGGGGGAAGCGTGTACTTCTCCACACGTGTCACACCCCACATGACAGGAGACAAGTGACCTGGCTTATATCTCTCTGCACTGCTAGCGAGTCCCAGGCCGGGCGGAGGGACTGAACAGGTTCACTTTCTTCCTCTCCACTCCCTCCTCGGAGCGGGATCTCTGAGCAGAGAACAGGGATGTGAGGACAGCCGGGCCCTCAGATGCCACACAGGTCACCTTCTGCTGCCACCCGCTATTCACCAACATGTGCGCTGGGCCTTCCCCTCGCTCACATCCTCGCATCTGTGCTGTGTCATATACTTCAAGCAACTGCTTCAGGGAGGGTGTGCACCGGGGCAGAAGGAGGTCAAATGACCACGACTTCCTCTCTATGAACTCTTGCTCTGACCACCCCTGGCTCCTCCTCGCGAAGGTGACAACACGCACCTAGTTCTGCCATGCCCCAGGCACTGTCCCTCTGCCGCTTGTAAGCAGCAGGCACGCTGGGGGCAGGGAGCTCCGCGTACACGATGCACGTGACCCCCGAGAGCGCCAGGCCGCTGAGAGCCTGACCTCGCTGGAAACGCCCCGGGAGATGGCGCTGCTCAGCTTCTCACTTGCTTTTTAAAAAGTACGGGCTCCGGTTGACTTCCGGTCAGGGTGGCAGCGTAGGTAAACGCAGTATCGCATCCTCCCACAACCACATCCAAGTTACAACAAAACTACAGAACAACCACAATTCAAAACCACCTGAAATCAAGCTGAATGGAAGTCCTACAACTACGGGATTGAAGAAGCTGCATCGAGACTGGTAGGAGGGCGGAGGAGACGGGCTGGGCCCACACCCACGTGTGGCGGATAAAAACCAGGAGGACACCTCGGCTGGGAAGGTCCTTCCTGAGGACTGAGGGGTCCCCGTCCCACACCAGGTGCCCAGCTCAGGGTTCCAGTGCCAGGAAGAGAATCCCTTCACTTCTGGCTGGAAAAACCAGTGGGAACTGAGGCTCAGGGAGGCTGAGGCGGCTGGAGCCCCAGGCAGCTCCTTAAAGGGCCCGCGCACGGACTTATCGGACTCTCTCCCTCTAAGCTCGGAGGGGAGGCAGCTCGAGGGGCGCCAGAGACACACAGGGAAGAACTGAGCTGTTTGGCACTGGAGCAAGGGCTGGAGAGGGGGCTTTCTCCGGGACAAACGTGCAGTCAGAGGCCTTTGTTCCTTTGGTGAGCCCTTCCCGGGGGCAGCAGACAGCCCCCCCAGCAACCTGGCTCACACTGGTAGCCCCGCCCTGGCGACTCCCTGAGGCCCCGCCCCACCCAACTTTGAGGCCCACCCAAGCTGTTGCCACTTTCTTAACCATAGGATTGGCCTGTCTTGGATCCTGCTTCAGGTTTTCCTAAATTTTTTCAAATGAGCAGCATCTGGTCTCAGCTAACCCCATACCGCTCGTTAAGTAATACACAGAAACAAACACAGGGAAGCAGCCAAAATGAGGAGACAAAGAAACAGGTCCCAAATGAAAGAACAGAACAAAACCCCAGGAAAAGAACTAAGCGAAATGGAGATAAGCAACCTAACAGATGCTGAGTTCAAAATACTGCTTATAAGGATGCTCAATGAACTCAGTGAGGGCCTCAAGAGCATATAAAAGGACCAGTCAGAAATGATCGATGCACAGTCAGAAATGAAGGAGGCTTTAACTGAAATAAAGAATAATTTACACAGCTTCAATAATAGAGTACGTAAATCCAAGGAGCAAACCACTGATTTGGAATATAAGGAAGCAAAAAACGCCCAATCAGAAGAGCAAAAAGAAAAAAGAATCCAAAAAAATGAGGGTAGTGTAAGGAGCCTCTGGGACAACCTCAAGCGTGCCAACATTCGCATCTTGGGGGTGCCGGAAGGAGAAGAGAGAGAGCAAGAAATCGAAAACCTGTTTGAAACAATAATGGCAGAAAACTTTCCTAACTTGGTGAAGGAAACAGACATACAAGTCCAGGAAGCACAGAGAGTCCCAAACAAGATGAACCCCAAGAGGCCCACACCAAGACACATCATCATCAAAATGCAAAAGGTTCAAGACAAAGAGAGAATCTTAAAAGCAGCAAGAGAAAGGCAGCTAGTTACCTACAAGGGAGTTCCTATAAGGCTGTCAGCTGATTTCTCAAAAGACACTTTGCAGGTCAGAAGGAAGTGGCAAGAAATATTCAGAGGGATGGAAAGCAAGAACCTACAACCAAGATTACTCTATCCTGCAAAGCTGTCATTTAGAATCGATGGACATATAAAAACTTTCCCAGACAAGAAAAAGTTAAAGGAGTTCATCACTACCAAACCGTTATTATATGAAATGAAGAAGGGTCTTTTTGAAGAAAAAGATCAAATATACGAACAAACAAAATGGCAATAAAAACATATCCATCAACGGTGGAATCTACAAACAAGATGAACAGGTAGAACAGAAACATTCTCATAGATACAGAGAACATTTTGTTGGTTGCCAGATGGGAGGGGGTTTGGGGGAATGGGTGAAAAAGGTGAAGGGATTAAGAAGTTCAAATTCATTGCTAAACTGACAAACCTCAAAAGGAAAGGGGTTAGGGGGGTGGGAGAAATAAACCAAAGAACTTACATGCATAACCAATGGACACAGACAATAGTGTGGGAAAGGCGACAGGGAGGTGAGAGTGGGGAGGAGGGAGTCAATGGGGGGGGAAATGTGGAACATCTGTAATACATTCTACATCCAACAATAAAGATTTAAAAATAAAATAAAATAAATAAAAAATAAAAATAAAAATAAAAATAAAAAAAAGTAAGGGTTCCGAGCGCTCACCCCTGTAACCTCACCTTTCTGCATATTTGCCACAGGGAAAGGCAGGTGCGAATCTCGCCCGGAAGCGGAGAAAGACCGCACCCCGGTTCCCTAGCTGGCCCAGTGCCCTTCGGAGGCCGTGACGAGCCTTCCCTGCAGGCCCGACCCTCCATCCAGCGGTGGCTGTGCCATCACCCAGCCTGTTAGGAACAAAATATCAGGGAAGTAAGCCCCTCAGTTCCTCGCTGGCCCCCAGAACAGTGCTCCGAACGCCCCAGGTCCGACGGTAACACGCTGGCAGGAGCGCTCGGGCACCGCCGCCTGGGCTGGCGGCAGGCTGGCCGCTCGCAGCCGGGCCCTCGGGCACTTCGGGCACTTGGGGCACGGCCCCCCGCAGGGCAGCCGCCGGGCTGGGGAGCAGCTCCTGCCCCGCCTGCTCCAAGCCCTCCGAGCGGCTGACCTGGGGTGCGCCAACCTGCCTGCCCAGCAGAGGGCGCCTGGCCCCCTGTGCAGAAGGACCTCTCCTGGCAGAGTCCGAGTTGCGGTGGGAAGAAACGGCTGGAAGAGGACAGAGCGGCGGCGGGCAGGGCGGGGAAGCCAGCAGCGTGGCGACTAGGAGCGGGCAGAGCCCAAGGGTCGAGAGCAGGGGCGCCGGGAGCAGCGGAGCACGGCTGGAAGAGGACAGGTGGGTGTACAAAGGCTTCCTCCCGGGGGGGGGGGGGGCACAGACGAAGCAGGACCCTCACCAGTCAGACTGGCTGACGTGACAGGCTCCCTGGGTCCTGAGTAGGGACTAAGAATGTACTGGACGTTTCTCCCTATTTCTGTATGCATTTGGGATTTTCCATAACCAAAACTAAAAGTGTGATACGTATATATAACTCCAGAAGCCAAGTACTGCCAGCCCTTCCTGCTATGGCCGTGCCCTGAGTCACCATCCCCTCCCCCTGGTCACCGTGAGAACCCTAAAAAGACTCCCACTTTCCTATCCTCCCCGCCCTTCGTCTCCTTTCATCACAGACACCGCCACCAAGTCACTGCACAAAGCACCGCGTGCCTCCCAGTTCCCTCGGAGATGAGCCAGTGTCCTCCCCGTGGCCTGCAGGGCCGCGTGACCAGCCCCCCGGTCCCTGACGTTCCCGTTGTCAGGGACGGTCTGGGGAGA